CAAGTAAAACACGAAAAAATATAAGTGAAGGTCGAAAAAAAAAGAAATGTGGTATATTCTACCCTAAATGGAAAGGTCTAATAAACTCCAATGTGGTATATTTGGAACAATTATTTTGTTACATGGTATATTTTACCTCGATAAGATCGAATATGCCGAAATATATAGCTTTAGAGGTGCTGCAGCAATTTGCATTAATTTGCTATTATTATATATGTACGAGACACAAGAAGTTAAATTTCTATTCAATTCGGGACTGTTCTAAGTTCAGTTATAACAAGTTAAAATTTAACGACTGAATTTTTTATTTGCACTGAAATGTTCGGAAATACTACAGATATATTACAGCCTATTAATAGCTTAAATATTCAAATTAACCGTTTCATCTTTGTGTAGATATCAATGAATGCGAAACAAATCCTTGTGATGAAAATGCAAATTGTACAAATGTAGATGGTTCGTATGAATGTACCTGCCATGAGGGCTATGAAGGAAACGGCAAAAATTGTACAGGTAGAGCTTAGAGATATAATTTTTTTTATTCGGGTTTATAATTATGTAATACAACTCTATAGTCAAAGTACTGGTGCCGAAAGTATTTTGTGAAACAACTTTTAATTCCAGTTTCCCATAAGAAAAAAAGAAAGAATCTTTTCCTGATAAAAGCCAAAATAATAATTTTAACTGTCTTAAAGATGTCAATAAGTGCGAAGACAATCCTTGCCATGTGAATGCAAATTGCACCACTGTTAATGGATGGTATGAATGTATTTGTCACGAAGGATATGAAGGCAATGGCACCAGCTGTACAGGTACATCATAAAAGCGTACAATTAGCCACGTTTAGGGTTCCGAATGGATATTATTTCATACATACACCAGGAGCTGCACCTGATTCGCGTCTTTGAACAAATCACAAACGTAAAAATAAGTATAAAATTAGCCAAAATAACACACTAGTCTTTGAAAAGGTACCCAGTAAAACACGCAAAAAAAAATATTAGTGAAGGTCGAAAAAAAAAGAAATGTGGTATATTCTACCCTGCATGGAAAGGTCTAATAAACTCCAATGTGGTATATTTGGATCAATTATTTTGTTACATGGTATATATTTTACCTCGATAAGATCGAATATGCCGAAATATATAGCTTTAGAGGTGCTGCAGCAATTGCATTAATTTGCTATTATTATATATGTACCAGACACAAGAAGTTAAATTTCTATTCAATTCGCGACTGTTCTAAGTTCAGTTATAACAAGTTAAAATTTAACGACTGAATTTGTTATTTGCACTGAAATGTTCGGAAATACTACAGATATATTACAGCCTATTAATAGCTTAAATATTCAAATTAACCGTTTCATCTTTTTGTAGATATCAATGAATGCGAAACAAATCCTTGTGATGAAAATGCAAATTGTACAAATGTAGATGGTTCGTATGAATGTACCTGCCATGAGGGCTATGAAGGAAACGGCAAAAATTGTACAGGTAGAGCTTAGAGATATAATTTTTTTTATTCGGGCTTATAATTATGTAATATATATACATATACAACTCTATAGTCAAAGTACTGGTGCCGAAAGTATTTTGTGAAACAACTTTTAATTCCAGTTTCCCATAAGAAAAAAAGAAAGAATCTTTTCCCGATAAAAGCCAAAATAATAATTTTAACTGTTTTAAAGATGTCAATAAGTGCGAAGACAATCCTTGCCATGTGAATGCAAATTGCACCACTGTTAATGGATGGTATGAATGTATTTGTCACGAAGGATATGAAGGCAATGGCACCAGCTGTACAGGTACATCATAAAAGCGTACAATTAGCCACGTTTAGGGTTCCGAATGGATATTATTTCATACATACATCAGGAGCTGCACCTGATTCGCGTCTTTGAACAAATCACAAACGTAAAAATAAGTATAAAATTAGCCAAAATAACACACTAGTCTTTAAAAAGGTACCAAGTAAAACACGAAAAAAATATAGTGAAGGTCGAAAAAAAAAGAAATGTGGTATATTCTACCCTAAATGGAAAGGTCTAATAAACTCCAATGTGGTATATTTGGAACAATTATTTTGTTACATGGTATATTTTACCTCGATAAGATCGAATATGCCGAAATATATAGCTTTAGAGGTGCTGCAGCAATTGCATTAATTTGCTATTAATATATGTACCAGACACAAGAAGTTAAATTTCTATTCAATTCGCGACTGTTCTAAGTTCAGTTATAACAAGTTAAAATTTAACGACTGAATTTTTATTTGCACTGAAATGTTCGGAAATACTACAGATATATTACAGCCTATTAATAGCTTAAATATTCAAATTAACCGTTTCATCTTTTTGTAGATATCAATGAATGCGAAACAAATCCTTGTGATGAAAATGCAAATTGTACAAATGTAGATGGTTCGTATGAATGTACCTGCCATGAGGGCTATGAAGGAAACGGCAAAAATTGTACAGGTAGAGCTTAGAGATATAATTTTTTTTCGGGCTTATAATTATGTAATATATATACATATACAACTCTAGTCAAAGTACTGGTGCCGAAAGTATTTTGTGAAACAACTTTTAATTCCAGTTTCCCATAAGAAAAAAAGAAAGAATCTTTTCCTGATAAAAGCCAAAATAATAATTTTAACTGTTTAAAGATGTCAATAAGTGCGAAGACAATCCTTGCCATGTGAATGCAAATTGCACCACTGTTAATGGATGGTATGAATGTATTTGTCACGAGGATATGAAGGCAATGGCACCAGCTGTACAGGTACATCATAAAAGCGTACAATTAGCCACGTTTAGGGTTCCGAATGGATATTATTTCATACATACATCAGGAGCTGCACCTGATTCGCGTCTTTGAACAAATCACAAAGTAAAAATAAGTATAAAATTAGCCAAAATAACACACTAGTCTTTAAAAAGGTACCAAGTAAAACACGAAAAAAATATAAGTGAAGGTCGAAAAAAAAAGAAATGTGGTATATTCTACCCTATGGAAAGGTCTAATAAACTCCAATGTGGTATATTTGGAACAATTATTTTGTTACATGGTATATTTTACCTCGATAAGATCGAATATGCCGAAATATATAGCTTTAGAGGTGCTGCAGCAATTGCATTAATTTGCTATTATTATATATGTACGAGACACAAGAAGTTAAATTTCTATTCAATTCGCGACTGTTCTAAGTTCAGTTATAACAAGTTAAAATTTAACGACTGAATTTTTATTTGCACTGAAATGTTCGGAAATACTACAGATATATTACAGCCTATTAATAGCTTAAATATTCAAATTAACCGTTTCATCTTTTGTAGATATCAATGAATGCGAAACAAATCCTTGTGATGAAAATGCAAATTGTACAAATGTAGATGGTTCGTATGAATGTACCTGCCATGAGGGCTATGAAGGAAACGGCAAAAATTGTACAGGTAGAGCTTAGAGATATAATTTTTTTTATTCGGGCTTATAATTATGTAATATATACATATACAACTCTAGTCAAAGTACTGGTGCCGAAAGTATTTTGTGCAACAACTTTTAATTCCAGTTTCCCATAAGAAAAAAGAAAGAATCTTTTCCTGATAAAAGCCAAAATAATAATTTTAACTGTCTTAAAGATGTCAATAAGTGCGAAGACAATCCTTGCCATGTGAATGCAAATTGCACCACTGTTAATGGATGGTATGAATGTATTTGTCACGAGGATATGAAGGCAATGGCACCAGCTGTACAGGTACATCATAAAAGCGTACAATTAGCCACGTTTAGGGTTCCGAATGGATATTATTTCATACATACATCAGGAGCTGCACCTGATTCGCGTCTTTGAACAAATCACAAACGTAAAAATAAGTATAAAATTAGCCAAAATAACACACTAGTCTTTAAAAAGGTACCAAGTAAAACACGAAAAAAATATAAGTGAAGGTCGAAAAAAAAAGAAATGTGGTATATTCTACCCTGCATGGAAAGGTCTAATAAACTCCAATGTGGTATATTTGGAACAATTATTTTGTTACATGGTATATATTTTACCTCGATAAGATCGAATATGCCGAAATATATAGCTTTAGAGGTGCTGCAGCAATTGGCATTAATTTGCTATTATTATATATGTACGAGACACAAGAAGTTAAATTTCTATTCAATTCGCGACTGTTCTAAGTTCAGTTATAACAAGTTAAAATTTAACGACTGAATTTTTTATTTGCACTGAAATGTTCGGAAATACTACAGATATATTACAGCCTATTAATAGCTTAAATATTCAAATTAACCGTTTCATCTTTGTGTAGATATCAATGAATGCGAAACAAATCCTTGTGATGAAAATGCAAATTGTACAAATGTAGATGGTTCGTATGAATGTACCTGCCATGAGGGCTATGAAGGAAACGGCAAAAATTGTACAGGTAGAGCTTAGAGATATAATTTTTTTTATTCGGGTTTATAATTATGTAATATATATACATATACAACTCTATAGTCAAAGTACTGGTGCCGAAAGTATTTTGTGAAATAACTTTTTTTTCCAGTTTCCCATAAGAAAAAAAGAAAAAATTTTTTCCTGATAAAAGCCAAAATAATAATTTTAACTGTCTTAAAGATGTCAATAAATGCGAAGACAATCCTTGCCATGTGAATGCAAATTGCACCAATGTTAATGGATGGTATGAATGTATTTGTCACGAAGGATATGAAGGCAATGGCACCAGCTGTACAGGTACATCATAAAAACGTAAAATTAGCCACGTTTAGGGTTCCGAATGGATATTATTTCATACATACATCAGGAGCTGCACCGTAAAAATAAGTATAAAATTAGCTAAAATAACACACAAATCTTTAAAAAGGTACCAAGTAAAACACGAAAAAAATATAAGTGAAAGTCGAAAAAAAAAGAAATGTGGTATATTCTACCCTGCATGGAAAGGCCTAATAAACTCCAATGTGGTATATTTGGAACAATTATTTTGTTACATGGTATATATTTTACCTCGATAAGATCGAATATGCCGAAATATATAGCTTTAGAGGTGCTGCAGCAATTGGCATTAATTTGCTATTATTATATGTACGAGACACAAGAAGTTAAATTTCTATTCAATTCGCGACTGTTCTAAGTTCAGTTATAACAAGTTAAAATTTAACGACTGAATTTTTTATTTGCACTGAAATGTTCGGAAATACTACAGATATATTACAGCCTATTAATAGCTTAAATATTCAAATTAACCGTTTCATCTTTTTGTAGATACCAATGAATGCGAAACAAATCCTTGTGATGAAAATGCAAATTGTACAAATGTAGATGGTTCATATGAATGTACCTGCCATGAGCGCTATGAAGGAAACGGCAAAAATTGTACAGGTAGAGCTTAGAGATATAATTTTTTTTTTCGGGCTTATAATTATGTAATATATATACATATACAACTCTAGTCAATGTACTGGAGCCGAAAGTTTTTGTGCAACAACTTTTAATTCCATGCAGTTTCCCATAAGAAAAAAGAAAGAATCTTTTCCTGATAAAAGCCAAAAAATAATTTTAACTGTCTTAAAGATGTCAATAAGTGCGAAGACAATCCTTGCCATGTGAATGCAAATTGCACCACTGTTAATGGATGGTATGAATGTATTTGTCACGAGGGATATGAAGGCAATGGCACCAGTTGTACAGGTACATCATAAAAGCGTACAATTAGCCACGTTTAGGGTTCCGAATGGATATTATTTCACATACATCAGGAGCTGCACCTGATTCGCGTCTTTGAACAAATCACAAAGGTAAAAATAAGTATAAAATTAGCCAAAATAACACACTAGTCTTTAAAAAGGTACCAAGTAAAACACGAAAAAAATATAAGTGAAGGTCGAAAAAAAAAGAAATGTGGTATATTCTACCCTAAATGGAAAGGTCTAATAAACTCCAATGTGGTATATTTGGAACAATTATTTTGTTACATGGTATATTTTACCTCGATAAGATCGAATATGCCGAAATATATAGCTTTAGAGGTGCTGCAGCAATTCGCATTAATTTGCTATTATTATATATGTACAGACACAAGAAGTTAAATTTCTATTCAATTCGCGACTGTTCTAAGTTCAGTTATAACAAGTTAAAATTTAACGACTGAATTTTTATTTGCACTGAAATGTTCGGAAATACTACAGATATATTACAGCCTATTAATAGCTTAAATATTCAAATTAACCGTTTCATCTTTTGTAGATATCAATGAATGCGAAACAAATCCTTGTGATGAAAATGCAAATTGTACAAATGTAGATGGTTCATATGAATGTACCTGCCATGAGGGCTATGAAGGAAACGGCAAAAATTGTACAGGTAGAGCTTAGAGATATAATTTTTTTTATTCGGGCTTATAATTATGTAATATATATACATATACAACTCTAGTCAAAGTACTGGTGCCGAAAGTATTTTGTGCAACAACTTTTAATTCCATGCAGTTTCCCATAAGAAAAAAAGAAAGAATCTTTTCCTGATAAAAGCCAAAATAATAATTTTAACTGTCTTAAAGATGTCAATAAGTGCGAAGACAATCCTTGCCATGTGAATGCAAATTGCACCACTGTTAATGGATGGTATGAATGTATTTGTCACGAGGATATGAAGGCAATGGCACCAGCTGTACAGGTACATCATAAAAGCGTACAATTAGCCACGTTTAGGGTTCCGAATGGATATTATTTCATACATACATCAGGAGCTGCACCTGATTCGCGTCTTTGAACAAATCACAAACGTAAAAATAAGTATAAAATTAGCCAAAATAACACACTAGTCTTTAAAAAGGTACCAAGTAAAACACGAAAAAAATATAAGTGAAGGTCGAAAAAAAAAGAAATGTGGTATATTCTACCCTAAATGGAAAGGTCTAATAAACTCCAATGTGGTATATTTGGAACAATTATTTTGTTACATGGTATATTTTACCTCGATAAGATCGAATATGCCGAAATATATAGCTTTAGAGGTGCTGCAGCAATTCGCATTAATTTGCTATTATTATATATGTACGAGACACAAGAAGTTAAATTTCTATTCAATTCGCGACTGTTCTAAGTTCAGTTATAACAAGTTAAAATTTAACGACTGAATTTTTATTTGCACTGAAATGTTCGGAAATACTACAGATATATTACAGCCTATTAATAGCTTAAATATTCAAATTAACCGTTTCATCTTTTTGTAGATATCAATGAATGCGAAACAAATCCTTGTGATGAAAATGCAAATTGTACAAATGTAGATGGTTCGTATGAATGTACCTGCCATGAGGGCTATGAAAGAAACGGCAAAAATTGTACAGGTAGAGCTTAGAAATATAATTTTATTTATTCGGGCTTATAATTATGTAATATATATACATATACAACTCTAGTCAAAGTACTGGTGCCGAAAGTATTTTGTGAAACAACTTTTAATTCCAGTTTCCCATAAGAAAAAAAGAAAGAATCTTTTCCTGATAAAAGCCAAAATAATAATTTTAACTGTCTTAAAGATGTCAATAAGTGCGAAGACAATCCTTGCCATGTGAATGCAAATTGCACCACTGTTAATGGATGGTATGAATGTATTTGTCACGAGGATATGAAGGCAATGGCACCAGCTGTACAGGTACATCATAAAAGCGTACAATTAGCCACGTTTAGGGTTCCGAATGGATATTATTTCATACATATCAAGAGCTGCACCTGATTCGCGTCTTTGAACAAATCACAAACGTAAAAATAAGTATAAAATTAGCCAAAATAACACACTAGTCTTTAAAAAGGTACCAAGTAAAACACGAAAAAAATATAAGTGAAGGTCGAAAAAAAAAGAAATGTGGTATATTCTACCCTGCATGGAAAGGTCTAATAAACTCCAATGTGGTATATTTGGAAAAATTATTTTGTTACATGGTATATTTTACCTCGATAAGTTCGAATATGCCGAAATATATAGCTTTAGAGGTGCTGCAGCAATTGGCATTAATTTGCTATTATTATATATGTACGAGACACAAGAAGTTAAATTTCTATTCATTTCGGGACTGTTCTAAGTTCAGTTATAACAAGTTAAAATTTAACGACTGAATTTTTATTTGCACTGAAATGTTCGGAAATACTACAGATATATTACAGCCTATTAATAGCTTAAATATTCAAATTAACCGTTTCATCTTTTTGTAGATATCAATGAATGCGAAACAAATCCTTGTGATGAAAATGCAAATTGTACAAATGTAGATGGTTCATATGAATGTACCTGCCATGAGGGCTATGAAGGAAACGGCAAAAATTGTACAGGTAGAGCTTAGAGATATAACTTTTTTTATTCGGGCTTATAATTATGTAATATATATACATATACAACTCTAGTCAAAGTACTGGTGCCGAAAGTATTTTGTGCAACAACTTTTAATTCCAGTTTCCCATAAGAAAAAAAGAAAGAATCTTTTCCTGATAAAAGCCAAAATAATAATTTTAACTGTCTTAAAGATGTCAATAAGTGCGAAGACAATCCTTGCCATGTGAATGCAAATTGCACCACTGTTAATGGATGGTATGAATGTATTTGTCACGAAGGATATGAAGGCAATGGCACCAGCTGTACAGGTACATCATAAAAGCGTACAATTAGCCACGTTTAGGGTTCCGAATGGATATTATTTCATACATACATCAGGAGCTGCACCTGATTCGCGTCTTTGAACAAATCACAAACGTAAAAATAAGTATAAAATTAGCCAAAATAACACACTAGTCTTTAAAAAGGTACCAAGTAAAACACGAAAAAAATATAAGTGAAGGTCGAAAAAAAAAGAAATGTGGTATATTCTACCCTGCATGGAAAGGTCTAATAAACTCCAATGTGGTATATTTGGAACAATTATTTTGTTACATGGTATATATTTTACCTCGATAAGATCGAATATGCCGAAATATATAGCTTTAGAGGTGCTGCAGCAATTCGCATTAATTTGCTATTATTATATATGTACGAGACACAAGAAGTTAAATTTCTATTCAATTCGGGACTGTTCTAAGTTCAGTTATAACAAGTTAAAATTTAACGACTGAATTTGTTATTTGCACTGAAATGTTCGGAAATACTACAGATATATTACAGCCTATTAATAGCTTAAATATTCAAATTAATGGATGGTATGAATGTAACTGTCACGAGGGATATGAAGGCAATGGCACCAGCTGTACAGGTCCATCATAAAAGCGTACAATTAGCCACTTTTAGGGTTACCGAATGGACATATTTTATACAAACATCAGGAGCGGATCCTGATTCACGTCTTTGAACAAATCACAAACGTAACAAGTACGATCGTACTATAGGGACCAGGAACTGCGTAACCGAGTTTAATTTCTGAACTGCGTTGTATTTATAACAATTGAGAGGACAATGTATTTCTAATCGTTTCCGTTTACTTATATATAGGCTGAATATTAATGATATGTATATATTATTTGCTGCAAATATATCAAGAATTGCTTGTAACCAGGGGTGGATCCAGCACTATTGCACTAATTTGCATGACACAAGAAAACTGCTAAAAATAACCACTTTGTTTTGTAATGCAAATTTGTGGACTAGTGCTAGATCCACCCTTGCTTGTAACTTGCTTCAAAGGTCAAAAGTAAAAATTCGAACTCCGTCAGTCAATGCGGAATATTGCTTAGAAAAATTGTGCCAAGTTTCATTCCGATCAAACAAGTAATGCTAGAGCCTTAGGGTTTTTTTAAAGAGCGTCGCCCCCTAACAACAAGAAGAAGAAGAAGATTAGCAGCGGTTAGTGACCAGTTCCTGGTCCAACAATATCTATCAACAATGGCCGACTATAAAACGTTAAAACAACGTGTCCGATGATCTCTATATATTACTGTGATGTTCTCTATAATTTACGCTAATAATATAAACTTGAATATTAATGTTAATGTTGATAAGTGTAACTGTAAATGTTAACGTTGATGAGTGTAACTATTAATGTTAACACCCGCACTCAGACTCAACTTATCTATATGAAAAACTATGGTGAGTCTGTCGTGTTCTTAATAGCCTAAAAGTACTTTTCGATGCTTTTCGACTTTTACTCTAGGTAATGATTTCGTAAGAATGTCTGCTGGCATTTCTTCAGTTGGAACATAATGAATCTTTACTTCCTTGTTTTCCACTCTTTTTCTTATGAAATGTAATTTCGTATCGATATGTTTGGATCGTTTATGCATCACTGGATTATGACACATCTTTATGCAGGATTGGTTGTCTTCGCCAATGTCGGTTGGTTTCTTCATTGGTATACCAAGATCTTCTAGAAGTGCTCGTAAGTAGATGGCTTCTTGGACCGCTGCCGCCATAGCTTGGTCCTCTGCTTCTGCAGATGAAAATGCGACGGTTGCCTGTTTCTTTACCTTCCAGCTAATGGCACCACCGTTTCCTTCAAACTTAAAGTAGTGTCCTGTGGTTGACTTGCGATCGTCGAGATCTCCACTCCAATCAGCATCTGAGTCACCAACTACATCGAGGTTTGAATTCTTTGAGAATGTTAATTGTAAATCAATAGCTCCTTTTAGGTATCGCAGGACGCGTTTGGCTGCTGTCCGATGTGATGTGTTGGGTTTATCTAAGAATCGCGACAGTTGATTGACGACGTATAGGATGTCTGGACGGGTTTGCTTGCCGATGAATAGAAGTGAACCAACTAGGCTTCTATATAGTTTGGTACTAACTTTTGTTCTTCGTTGCCTTTAACTAGCTTTAGGTTTACTTCTCCAGGTGTAGCTGCTGCTTTGCAATCATTCATGTTGAATTGTTGAAGAACAGATTCGATGTACTTGCTTTGGTCAACAGTAATCTTTTCATGTGATCGTAGAATTCTCATTCCTAAGAACCAATGTAATGCGCCACGGTCGTCCATCTTGAAATTTTCATTCATCATCAACTTTATGTTATTCACTGCTTCCTCGCTCGCGCCGGCTACTATGATATCGTCTACCCAAACTAAGACGTATGTGAATGTTCCGTCTTCTTCCTCTTTCACGAATAAACAGTAGTCGTTGCAGCTTCGCTTAAATCCTTTTTTCACGAGTAGGTTGGTCAACGATTCGTACCAATTCTTTGCAGCTTGTTTTAAACCATAGATTGATTTGTTCAGTTTGGATACCATCTTTTGTCCTGAATTAGGCTTCTTGGTAAAACCTTGTGTTTGCTCTAGGTAGACTTCTTCTTCTATCTCGGAGTGTAGGTAGGCTGACTTTACGTCCATCTGGCCGAGATACAAATCCTTTTGTGCTACTGTTGCTAATAGAATTCGGAAAGTTTCCGGTTTGCAGGT